GAGACAATTCCAATATCTTCAGTTATCCAGGAAAATCAAACAGAAATAACCTTACCAATATACTTTTATTTATACACTCAATATAACATAATCATCTTCTATAACAGAAGCCCAATTAAAATATACACACTCAGTACATCATTGTAATGATCAACATAAAATGAATATTAAGTGACCCTATTAAAATCTCACGGTTCAGAAATAATTTGAAATAAAAACAGCAAGCGATGTGTAGTATATGTGCCCAAGCAGTGCGCAAATAAGTGTAGAGCACAAACATCATATATAGTCTAGCATGATATGGCATTAGAATTACATTCAAATACGTATTCAAAAATATTCAAATATTGTATAATATATATTTTTCTTTTAAAATATCAATCTCATATGGTGGATTGAATGGTATGTTCAACAATCACTATATATTATTAAAATGGACCATTTTTTGTTTCCATATTATTGTCTCACATTCATTGGTAACCTCTCGGATATGGTATTTCGAGATTGTTTAAACGGACCATTGCTAGATATGTTATTTTTAAAATTGACCCTACTGTGATATTTGCCTCATTTAATACTTCTTACTAACCCTGTATACACTTATCTAGGATTTCTATCAATATATTCATTCATTTTTTGGTCCCGGCCATTCCAAATTTAATAAATGAAATATGATAGATTTCTTGAGTATTTACCAGACTGAAATTAACAAATTTTCAAAGGTAATGACTTACAAAGAAAGAGTTAAGGAGCACTCGAAAAATTATTTCAGTATGAAAATGAAAAACATGGTTAACGATTCGAATAATGAAATTGAGGAAATACTCGCAATTTTACCAACTAGGCATTGTTCAATCTTTGTTTTCCGCCCCCATTTATTCAACCTAGTTTTTTTTAAACTGATAGTTGGGATAAGCTGTGTATAAACGACATACCCACTTAAGACCGGAGCACCCTCATAAAAATCTATAGTTTTTGACCGATTTTTTTTTTTTTTCGTTTCAGCGGAAGGACTATCCGGAGATCTACGCTTACACAAATTTGCAAAATAAAATTTCAATCTACAGGGCATACTATATTATTTTTTTCATGTTAAAAATTGCGAAATATCATTAGCGATTTTTTTCAAACAAAATCGACCCCACCACTGAACTCAGCATCCTTCAATTAGGTTGAGCGCAAAATTTCATTGAAAAATTTCAATTGGCAACAAAGTTATAACAACATTAATTTTGATTGATCACCATTTTTTATGAATATTTCAGACAAATTCTGAGAAGCGGCAACATTGTCAACACAAATGTTGGAAATCATTGAGGTTTCTGGTATACATTTGAATTGATAACACAAATTATTATTGAGTCATAATCTCTAGAATGGTACCTTTTTGGAATGAAGTAATGAAGTCGGAAAAACAGCTTTTCATAATAAGTTGATTATCAATGTAAACCAACAATTTCTGAAAGCTCTTGATGTTTTTGGGTTCTGATATTATCTCACTATACAGACTATCCGATTTTCTAACTATAATTACTTGGATGAACAAGGCCGATTTTTCGACGTTATCGATTTTTCATTTTATGGATCTTTCCATGAATACCAACATAAATTCCATTTCAGATGATATAACTCGATAATAATTTGTGTTATCAATTCAAATGTTTACCAGAAACCTTGATGATTTCCAACATTTGTGTTGACAATGTTGCCGCTTCTCAGAATTTGTATGAAATATTCATAAAAAATGGTGATCAATCAAAATTAATGTTGTTATAACTTTGTTGCCAGTTGAAATTTTTCAATGAAATTTTGCGCTCAACCTAATTGAAGAATGCTGAATTCAGTGGTGGGGTCGATTTTTTTTTGAAAAAATCGCTAATGATATTTCGCAATTTTTAACATGAAAAAAATAACATAGTATGCCCTGTAGATTGAAATTTTATTTTGCAAATTTGTGTAATCGTAGATCTCAGGATAGTCCTTCTGCTGACATAAAAAAAAATTGGTTAAACACTATAGATTTTATAAGGGTGCTCCGGTCTTAAGTGGGTCACACTGTATATTGATTTTCTTAAATACAAACAAATATACACTGAATTATCTGTTTTAAAAATTGTTTAGGTGAAAAATATTTTCAAATACTATTTGTTCTCCAACTTCTATAAAATGAATTTTGTTTTCATCACTCTTTGAGGAAAACTAATTCACACAAACCGGATTTTGGAAAAAATCACTTGTCCTACGAACTCTTTATTTTTTCAACCGTTTTTGATATCTCTGCAATATAGTTTTCGTGGGAAATTAAAATGAATCTATAAAGGAGAAGGAATCATGGTATAAGCACTGATCAAATTTTATTTTCCGGTGTTGATTTTTCCACGGAACGTTTTTTCGCAATATATTTAGTGGCAGCAATTTGTTCTCTATTACGTTAGGCTACCAATGAGGCAGGGTTATATCAGAATTTCGGTAAGACAACAAAATTGCTAGAAAGGTTTATGATAATTGAGGCGAATAAGATTAACTAAAACTCAATACTACTGCTAAATCAAGCAGTATCAAAAATAACAAATATAATCACATTTCGAGGGTGGATTAATGTAAAAACTATAAATGGGCTAAGCTCATTAGCCTTGGTTGCAACCATTTTTGTTTTGTAATTTGTAAAATCTACATGGAAATTGCTCGTTACATTGGTTTTAGATTGATTCGGTCAGTTATTCTTTCTGGCTGTCTGACTCTTTGAATATTTCCTCAACTGGTTTCATATTATCTGCAAACACTTCATCCAATCATACTCCAAATTCGATTTGAAGATTTAAATAAAATTATCTTTGAGTATTCCACTCTTGTTCTCGAGAACCAATCGGAGTCGACCATTTCCACGGTTTCTTCTGTATTACAGTGACATTTTTTGTTTACTAAAATTTACCGGACTTGCTCTACCAATACAGAAGCCGAATTGACCAACACGTGACCAACCAACGTCGTTTTACAGCAATAACATTTTGACATTTAAAACGTCAGTTATGATGACGAAAGCCAAAATAATGGATGCAATGTGTGCAACTTTCGCGAGGCTCTCGTTTATTGTCTCAATCATGAAATAGTCAAACGAGTACAACTCGTGATACTATTTCTCCTGGATATAATCGTCGATTGACTTACTCCAGCTTGCTGCTTTAATTTCGCTCATGACATTGTATCATTCGCGAAATTATTATTCAATTTGAGAAAATTACATTTCTATGCCGATTTATGCAGGTTCATCTTCTACCTACACGCATAAGTTTAAATTATAGCTCATTAGAAAAAAAATCAAAATCAATCAATCGAACATGTGGAGTATGAAGAAAAGAATCAAGAGCCAATTTTTACCACTCATATGAAACTAAACCATGAACCAGTTAGGAAAAATGTTTAATGTATCCATCAAGTAGTATCTCTTTAATTGTAAGTTGTATTTAAGGTTAATTTTTACGATTAGAAATAAATGTTCTTGATCACCCTTCATTTTCTTGCGATTTGATTAAATCAATTTGAACTGAATTTCATCACCATAATTGTACTACAGAGCAGTTGATACGTATTCGAAATTGAAACACGAAATCACGGTCCTAGTATAGAATTTCAAAATAATCATTTGGTATAATTTTTATTTGAACAAAATCTGACTTGAATTTCAGATAACTTGACTATCAAACGGAAGCTACTACTCCAGAGAGCAAATAGTTGACCAATATAAAATGATCCTCTAACTTTTTTAGAGGAGCGATTAAAACTAATTGTCAACCGATTGCCCATGAAACGAGCATCTCCAAAGAGAATTCAAATCGGTTCAGACATTCAAGAGCCACAACTGCTCGGTATGGAATGAAATCCAAAGTGTCTCGTTTCAGTCGTTTCCACTTTCAACCACTTGACAACTCAGCCTGTGCTACCGAGCGAAAAATATGTCTTTCTCATTGTCCCTGTCTTCAGAGCTCCTACGTAGAATAATGAGAATTTCATGTTGGCAACACAAAAAATGACCACATTATAACCTCAATATAAAAATGATGAAATGATCTTCAATGAATACGGGTCTCAGGAAGGAGTCATATGTATCGGCTTCATTCTGTTCTGACATGACCGGCAGCAAATGAGGAAGCATAGTATCATTAAATGTGGTCGATATTGAATCATTGGTACAATGATATTTTCGTATAGGATGGAGCTCTATTTGAGGAATTTGAATTCATAAATAATAAAACTACTACATTCATATCAATGACGAAAGAATGAGCGGAGTACCTACCCAAAGAACGATGCTACTTCTTATGCAATTTTTTCTTTTGTTGTGCTATCCAACTCCTTACATCTAAAACCCGTCAGCAATAAAGTAAATATCTGTGTGTGTAATGATTGTTGAAAGTTTTTCAGCTATAAGGACTTTGAAAGTTTGAATTTCAAAATGTATTATGAAGGCTCCTCATACCATACAAGGTATGAGTCACCCAGACATATCTCAGAAGAGTGGCCTAAACAAATCAAAAGAAATGTGCTGGCCAATTGTTTTATAGAGCCAGAGGCCATTGAAAAGTAATAAGAAGAATGTTAAAATAACCTTCTTCTCATTTTCAATGTTACCAATATGAAACTATCATAATTTTAGCTTGAAGACACAAAAGGAGAAGACGTATTTGTTTTTTTTTTGAGGTTACCTGTACTTTTTCGCCAATTGCCTTATAGGGCAGAGGCCATTGTGAAGAAAGAAAAAGACTTGTAATTTTATGTTGAAAAAAAGTGGAAGTTTCCCAATTCTTTCCATGTGCTCGGGCAAATTACTCGTTTTTACAAAAATCCACTCATACTGTTTCTGAATATGTACAGGACGAACTAAACTATATAATATATAACTATAATTATTGTACCCTTGATTGTTACACATGAAAAAAATATAATTATATACAGGAGGATGGCATACACGCATTCATTTAGGACCTAAATTTCTCCCGCTTTCAGTGGAACAAGAGAGACTGTCCCATCTGGTTTGATGGAGGGTTTACCTGACTCATCGCTGGCATGGGGCTCATCATAGGATGGGTTGTAGGCATCGGACGTATACCCTAAAATATCCAACATTATCATTATCAGCTTGTATGTACAGGTGTCAATTAAACCCCATTGCAACTTTCTTGTTTTTGAAAATATGGAAAAATGGAACACAATGTTCAATGTTTGACAGATTGCATTTTTCGATAAAAAATCAATGATTTATTGACGATTGGAGTTGATCAAATTACTCATATCACATAATATAAGATGAGCTTAACAACAATATTGTTTATGCTCCATGGGGATGTCAACATATAAGTATGATTTCTCGGACATTAATATTTCGAAACAATAAAATATCAGAGGAAACTCAATTATTGAAGAATATCCCAGGTATATTTTATTGCATGGTGCCAACTCTGCATCGATCAGAATGGCAGGAGTTTTGAAAATGTTGTGTAGTTTTATATTTAGAACCTGTTAGTTTCTTCAATAAATGCTGATTATGAATTTTTTTTGATTATTATTAAATTTTGTCATTGAGAACTTTATCCATTTCTTACAACAGACGTAACTCACTTAACTGTGATATTCGCGGTAGTCAAGGTCATCATCTGACGTTGCAATGACATGAAAACCTCGAGAAAACATTCCTAAATACTGGCTTATATTCGCGAAAATCACGAAGTGTGCGGCCTCTGGTGGCTAACTGTACAAGTCTTGCGAGTATAAACAACAAATATGGCGACCATTGTTTTGAATTTCATAAATATGTGTTTTATTTGAAAATAATTTATTTGTTGAAGTGCATATTCCAGAACCTCATTTCTCCCTGATGAAAAAACTCGAATTATTGCATGAACTTTTATTGTTTACAATGAAGAAACCAGTACCTTATAATAATATAATATACATTTTCTCAAGCACAATTGAAATCATTGTATTAATGTTGGTTGCAATGATTCGATCTTGAGAATAACTTCAATTCCTCAATTGCTGGAGATCCTTGTTTATGTAAATCGATGATATTGTTCATTCTGAGCAGCCTCTCCAACCATATCTTCTTTCCCAACCCCTTCACTAGAATTCCATCTCCTCCATAAAAGCCAGTGATATTTTTTGATGAATTCAATTATTTCTTCATACCTATACCATACTGTTGTGATAGTTGATTTCCTTATGGTTCCATTCCAATCCATGATACAAGTGTTGAGTGGACCATTCCGACCATTCCATATGATTAAAACTGTGGGATTGTAATGTGATATCAATGATGAACACCACCATTGTCCACATCAAAATGGCAATTTCTCTGCACAAAAAGTAATTTTTTCCATACTGGAAACCTTGTACGTATTTCAAGAAGTCAACTTATTATTCACTATTTTGCAAAATGATTTGGAAATAACCAATTTGCAATACGTGCATATATACGGCAATGTTTTTGTTGTTCATACTCAGTTGGAAATTTGACGTTGATTTGACATATAATAGAGCCATCTATTGGTTCGTGATTTTCGCGAATAGAAAGTTGGACATGTTTTCCCGTAGTTTTCATGTCATCGCAACGTCAGATGATGAATTTGACTACAGTGAATAATTTCTATAAACATAATGAGATGCAATAGCTTGATATTTACATTCAGCCTTAACTGAATTCAATAAACTACCTGGGAATATAAAAAATTGCAGAAATATAGGGACATTCAAAAATGAAGTAAAAAAACTGATTATTTCTGAGCGAACTGGATAAAATTAATCAAGTCATTTTTTTTTACAAATATTCTTTGTTTGCCAATTTACAGTTGTTGATATATCTTGAATGATGATATGTTTACCTATAGGTATATAATTATGTACTTCTTAACCCATAAAAAAGTTATTCGAACCATCCTCAATAAGCCAAGGTCTCACCCTTGCAAGCCACTGTTCATAAAACTTACCATTCTACCTCTAGCTTGTTTGTATATACTCGAGGTTGCTTGCTATATACCGGGTGGCTACGGAAGTATTGCCTACGGAATATCTCAGTTATTGTATGAAGTAGGTTCGTGAAATTTGGAGCGTCGATATAATGACATAAGAGCTAGAATTTGAGCATATTGACATGTCGAAATTAACTTCCGGTCTGACCGGAAGTAACATCAACTTTCTTATTTCAAATGGAAACCCTATTTTTTTTTCTTTCCGCTTTATTCAGCATTCAATTCCCTTTCTGATGACATATCACAAGTTGGTATCTAACCAGAAACTAGATCAGAGAAAAATTATTATTGAAATTCACCGAGTAGGCCGTGGAAGCGTATTTCATTTCAAAAAATGACTTTCTATTATATCATTAGAAAGGAATGATTATGCTGAATAGTACAGGCAAGAAAAAGTTGCATGTTCCTATTTAAGTTATGGACCTACAGAGTATTGTTTTTTTCCCAATTTTTCCAATATTTTTTTTGGCGGCTTTTCATAACGCCGACGAATGAAAATAAAATATCGCAGTAGTAGCAACTGTTATCAAGTGACGTATGGTTTCCATAGCCAACTTTTCAATTTTTGGCTTTCATTTTGCTTCCACGGCCTACTCGGTGAATTTCAATAATGAGTTTTTTCTGATCTAGTTTCTGGTTAGATACCAACTTGTGATATGTCATTAGAAAGGGAATTGAATGCTGAATAGAGCGAGAAGAAAAAAAAATAGGGTTTCCATTTGAAATGAGAAAGTTGATGTTACTTCCGGTCAGACCGGAAGTTAACTTCGACATGTCAATATGCTCAAATTCTAGCTCTTATGTCATTATATCGACGCTCCAAATTTCACAAACCTACTTCATACAACAACTGAGATATTCCGTAGGCAATACTTCCGTAGCCACCCGGTATATACCTCAATAGAAATAATCTAATTGCACACTCTGATATACACTCCTATTCAACAAGGAATAACAACCTACTTTACCCACCTAAAAACACCTTACAACTAACCTACACTGGTCCTACAAAAATGGGTATCAAAATTTTCAACAATTTGCCAGGAAGTGTTAGAGATTGTACCACTCACCTCAAATTAAGGAATAGCCTAAAAGCTCTCCTCACTGAACATATGTTTTACTCACTTAGTGAGTTCTTGGACTGTTTCATAAACTGATTTTAATTTTTTTTTTATGTAAATGTGATGAATTTTATCCAAATGTTTGTAAAACTCATATTATTTGAGAGTATTTGAGATTGCATTATTGTATTGTATTTATTTTTTCTATAACCTTGACGAATTGTACACAAAATTTATTGTCGATCATAATAAACTGATAGTATTATTATTATATTATTATTACCAGAGCCTATTCTGTCTGGAAGTTATTTGTTCAATAAATGAAATAAAATAAATAAATAAATCCAATATATGAATTTCGGACTCACCAACATCTGTGGATAAATCTGAGGCTGCGGAGAGGTGGCAGTCATACTACTGAACGGCGAAGTTTGCATCGCTTGGTTCATGGGCTTGTATCCGGCGCCCGTCGTATCCGACATGGGTTGGGGGGTCCAGCTGTTACCCGTTTTCGAATTGTTCTTCGGCGAGTTCCATTGAACACCCCTGAAAATAGATAATAGATAAATGTGAAAGAATGTAACAGGTAGCATCCACTATGTGAAGTTTTGAAGACTGTGGTAGAGTATAGTCACACACAGAAATACACCCATCATACTACAATAATAATCAGAATAAATATGTGTTTTGGGCATCGCCCTAGCTTCTCAGGTAAGGCACTAGCCGTTCGATATCTTAAACGAGAAGGAGGTTTTTGTTTTTTAATTTTATTTCCCTTCACAAAACACAACTCCCACCACTGATAGCGTCTGAACAACTCCCCCACCCATTGGGTAATCTCAGTGAAATTACCTATACAGGGTGTCCCAGAACAAAGTACATTAAATTCAACAGGGTGAACTAGAGTTCAAAATAGGTCGATTGGGACCAATTTACCTCTTTAGAAAATGCACTGTTGGGCCGTGAGAGGGCGATGAATGAAATTTTTTTTTTTTCGATTTTATTGAATATTTCAAAATCCTTGAGAGGTAATGATCTGAAATTTGTCATCAGTGCAATCGATATACAGGGAGATACAAATTTAGCATTCTGATTGGAGAAAATCCATAGAACTACTTGAATAACAAAATCAATTATCTATCTTTTTTCTCACCACATTTCTTTCTAAATTTTGCTTGGTTTACGAGATATCTGAAAAAATTCTTTCGGAGTCCCTCCATATCATCCATTGTCCAAGATATCAGAGTTATTGTGTTCTGCAGGTTTCTTCCTCCTTCATGTTGATATTTTGGTCACGTATTCATATTGATTATTTAATAACCTTTTCATCATACAGGATGGCCCATTTTCAACTTGACAGGGAGATTTTGGGTGATAATAGCGTAGATACGAAAAAATGCTCAGATCGGTCGATTTTAGTTTGCACCTCCTGCTAACAATCAAAGTCTTCCTTTTCAACTTGAAGTTCTACTTTTAGCAATTATAATATCCAAATCGGTACAATATTCAAACACTATTAAGTTATACCACATTATACACAAATTACACAATGACAGGAAAAAGAATAGAAAAATAATGCAGAATCAACTTAACACTTTGATAACTGAAGATGAAATGAAATAATCATTTATCAATGCTTTCAAACGATGTAAACAAACTGGTAATGGCCATACAGTAGTTCCAATTTCTACCGTTCTGGCGCAACGATCTTAGTCTCTGTCGCCTTTAACATTTTATATAAATATAAATGAATAAATAAATATATACTTTATTGTCTGAAGATATACTCTCATTGACAAAGTTTATATGTGGTAAAGTGAATAAATATTGAATAAACACAGTCAATTTGTAAAATAACGTGACACAAAATAGGATAAAAACAAGAAAAATAAATAACATCGAGCAGATATATAAATATATGATATGCACAGTCACATTGTAAGTATAAAACAGAATTTTACGAGTTGAATAAAACATTATGCAGTCCATTGTCAACATTTCTATCTTCGTCCACGGAGTAATATGCTTTTGATAACGGGAGCCTTCTCACAATTTTTTTTAAATTTTTGTTTTTGTAATACATTAAATCTCATTTGGCAGATGATTAAATATTTTCCTACCATTGTAAATGAAGGAACTTTTGACTTTTGAAGATACTGGAATTGGTAAACATATGTTGAGTATGTTTCTTGTAATGTTTTGGGACGTAGTGAAAATTTCATTCGTATATTTTTTGCATAAAACATACCGTCTCTAGAATAAAAATGCAAGGCAATGTCAAAATATTGTACTTAACGAATAACGGTCTGCAAGAATCCCTAAATTTAGCCTTACACATATTATCTAACCGCTCTTTTCTGTAAAACAAACACCATATCAAATGAATATTGGCAGCATGTTCCCCAAAAACAGATACCATATCGTAAGTGAGAATCTATTAGTGCAAAATACACACTTTTGGCAGCATCTGTTCCTAGTTCATTTGCTGATACTCTCACGGCAAAGCAACCTGACGAAACTTTCTTACAAATGCTATTTACATGTTCAGTAAATTGCAGGCTGTTTTCAATATGTAAGCCTACAAATTTTGTTGAAATATTATTTTTGATCAGCTCATTACCCAAGAGGATTTCCAGCCTGCAACCCTTATTAAAGGTAATGAGACTAGTTTTTGAAATATTGAATGATAAAAGGTTAGCATCGCACCAGACTTTTATCTTCATAATGTCCTGATTGATCGATTCCTGCAATTTTAATGCAGCTATATCAATACGGGCGAGATCATTGATATATAGCGAGAATAAAATTGGCCCAAGGACTGATCCTTGTGGAACCCCACTAATTACGCATACATGGATGTGGATCATTTTGTTATAGTAAATAATCTAGACTGCTACGCGGAATATGACACTATTACATTCGTGAAAACATAGACTCACTTTATGGGAGCCGTTCTGCCATGGATGGTGAGGTTTTCGGCGAGCGACGCCAAACTGGATTCCAAATCGCCGGTCAGAAGAGCGCTGGCGTTGTTCGGCTGATTGTTGTTCACGTTGTTTTCGCTCGTGTTGTTGGATATGTTGTGTCTCTGCCCGTTCGCGTTGACCGGTTGAAGGACACCGCCTAAGGCATCGAAATTGCTGGCTAAAAAGGGGAATAAGCGATAAGTGGAAAGTTGAAGGTCCCAATGGGTACATCAAGATAATGAAGATCAGCAGAATGACTACGGATAAGTTAGTGATCCATTTCAGATGAGAAACATTTGTCATTTATTATTGAGGATATCAGAAGCAGAAATTTGATTGGAGAAATAATCAGAAATTGACAAAAAATAGTCGAAACTTTGCAAATCATATTACTAAATGAACTCAAATATTCAGAACCATCATAATATATGTTAATAATTTATGAGAGAAAAATACATAACGTCAGAAAGATCTACACGTTTTATCGCTATTCAAATCTTGACCGATGAAAGGGATATTGAAATTCACTAAAATACATCTCAATATACAGGGTGTTTCGTAATATGTGAGACACACTTCGATATAGAGCGTCTCAAGAAAATAAACAAAAGTCGTAGAAGTCTTCTTTTGCGAGATAGAGATATAGGGGAAAATTGTATTTTAAATGTCTCCATAACTTTGGTGGAGCATTTGCTTTGAAATTCTGTTTGTTGTTGGCGATGTTTGTGATTTTCATAATTGATTACTGCCTTTTTTTTCACTGTCACTTTGCTAATTTCATAATTTAAATCAATACAAAAGTGACACAGAAACCTCAATAACGCAAAAACTTTGGCCTAGGGCACCAATAGCTGCTAATCCGGGCCTGAGTGCCACTAGCGCCCTCTATGAGCAATAACAAAATAAGTTACAAATTCGTATTTCTCATGCAAGAAAATCTGAAACTACCAAATTTCATGTTCATGCTGTTAAAACTTACAAAGTTATTAAGTAATTTTGAAATGAAATCTTCTCGAACATCTTGTATCTCCTAAACCAGCAACATTTCTAATAGTCATGTTAGGCTAAATCTTCATATTTTGGTATTAACTATCAGTAGCTCAGAGATTGCCCAATCTTAATGAATATTCATGATTCAACCCGGAACCATCACAATAAATAACTAAGAATCCATTACATTTCGTGTGACTAACATTTATTTTTTTGAAGAAGACCAGATCGGGTATCTGAATATTTATTACAAAACACTGTAGATAGTAATTCTTCCAAAAATGTATCAGGTCACAAAAATCCAATCTTTGCCCCTTGATTAGTTTTACTGAAATGAAACCTATGTATATAGATGACAATGAAAAGACCACAGTAAATAAAGTAAATGTTAAGCCAATTAACAGTCACATTGAAGTTGATAAAGGAAGTATACTATACGAGGTCAACGAAATCTATGGAAGCTATTAACATGCATTCAGCAACAAGTGATCACAGGAAAATGAATCTACGTAAGCGATTTTGACAGGCGAATTTCTTTGTAATTTTCCTACAAGGTTTTTCCTAATTATTGTTCTTACCTTCGACTCAAAAGTAAGGCATGATGAAGCAATATATACCTACCTGATGACAATTTAAAAGTACAATGGACTGCCATTGAAGATGGCTCAAAACAGTTTTTAGGATACGAATTTAAATTATGAAGTCCTTCAGCCCAACTGTTCAACGGAGTTATAGAGATGTGGTAATCATATTCGAAAAGGGGTCCTGTCCCGTTGACTAATAATACACCATTTTTTTATTCACAATTGTAGGTGAATCACCCTGTATAATTTTTGACATCAGATACAGGCCATTGTAAGTTTGTAAATTGTCATACTGCATTACAAAGCAACCAAGCAAGGGTGCAATACAAAAAGAAAAAACTAAATGACAACACCTTTTCCAGTTGAATTTAAAAAGCGTCAAATTGAATTCATAAAGCATCAATTATATTTCAGAATAGTCAATTGAATTCCAGAATTTGCCATTTGTTTTTAAGAAAGCGTCATTTGTATTTTGTATTTCAAAATTATAAAGAATTCTATCAAAGTACATTTCTCCCGAGAGCTTCGTGTACTTTATTTTTTCATATTGAGCAATCCATTTCTGAAATTCATTTGAATATTCTGAAATACATTAGATACCTCCTCAAATACAATTGACTATTAACTGGAAAAAGAGTAGATACAAGAAAGACACACACTAAAAAGATAATCAATTCACCTGATAATTGCTTATAGATACCATTCACACTCGTAACCATAGACAATCCACCAGTGACGGAATCAATTGTTAACTCAACACTCAAATGGCTACGTGAAAAATTATTGTCATGAGTGATGATACAAGATAGACGAAGAGACACGACGACGATCGAAGACAATCAAACGTCGATGGATTTGATATCTGTGGATATGCTTTGTTTTTGAAAGAAATCTATGACTCGCAAGACTGGCGTGTCAGTGGATTTGGTTGGGGATTCCAAGTCTAGCAGGGAGGGGGTTGTGTCTTCCACGAGGAAGGGATTGAAAGAAATGGTTTCGTCCGCAGCTTGTGAAAAAATAAGAGAAAACACTATTAGTATTTTTGCCTGTATACCATAGGCAATAATATAAAACATTCTCGCTCTATATAAATGAAATTCACAACCCATTTGTCTGTGTAGCACAATAAAATTGGAAATTATAAAAATTTTGGAGACAATATATTTTTAGCGAATTACTTCAAATTGCAAACTCAGTTCCATTGAAGGAAATCCGAGCATTTAAATTTATTTTTACATGGTTGAATATAATAGTATTTCATGCAACGATCATGTATTAATAGCCAATAGATCGTTGCATACACTATTTTTTTATGACCAATAAATAATAAAATTGCCTGTACTTTTGATTGAATGTCAATTGAAATTGAATGTCAAACAACTCGAGTAAATGAAACAAAGGCCCACTTGATTATACCCAAGTTCGTTTTTCTATAGGCACAAAATTCCGTATCATAACGTAGAGTACGTTTTTCATTTGCCAAAATTCGTATCATGATGAGAATCCATATTGAAATGAACAATAATTAAGAAATCGGTAGCAGATAATTATTTAATTCGCGTACTGTAGAGTAAAAAAATTATAATAGTTTTGCTCTAATTCGACAAAATTTTACCAGTTGATCTACTGCATTCTGTGGTTTTGTTTTCTTGGTGAGTTGGTTTTTAACTTGGAAGTAGCGATATATACAAAAAAATGAGGTTATGTATGGAAGATTTGTCATAAAATGTGAATTCAGAAAAAAAGGATGGGAAATAATTTCCAACTTCGGAAAAAAATTAATAATTGGGCAAGAATATGAAACGATTTGAATATTTTAGCCTAAACAATTTAAACTGAAGCAATGTAAAGTGTGTGCCACCAAAATATTTGTGCAACACTAACATGCCAAAATTTAGGTAGATAAGCATGATTCAACAGTAAAGGAGTGTGTTTAGATCTATGACAAATAATGAATGATACAAAGAGGGTTAGTATGAGAATATTTTGTCGTGAGGTAGGCTCAGAAGTAATGATGAAACTAACCTTTTCCATCTGCATTGCCAAATACAGAAGCAAAATTATTTTCAGAAACGAATGTTCCATTTGTTATCACAGAGTTGGATGTAGGACTCACTGCTCCAAAACCTGTAAAAAAACGTGACATTTGAACTCATTTACGAATGGGTGTTACGGAAAGATAGACCTTTTCGGGAATAAAAATAATGTATTATTCCATGTGAGTATGATCAAAAAATGTTTGGAAAACTCGCTATCAATTTGATGTTCCTGGAATCTGATAAATTCAACTTTTCGGAACACTTCAACAAGTCATGTGTCAACCTTGCTGTGAACAATATCAGATATTCTGACAAATGACATACTGCCATACGGCAAGAATTGCCTACTTTATATTCATGTCAATTCATTAATGGGCATTGACTTAGTCTCTGTTATGGTCAATTATGTCAAGTATCCGTCAGAGTAATTATTAAGGTTAAGGTCCCTCATGATCCCCTTTGGACCTGAACGAAAAATTGTATAGGTATGTATTTTTGAAATCATTTTATAATAACCCATTGGGGTACTTATTTGTTAAATGTATGTCTGTTCCGACCACCATTTGTCCCACAATGATATCGTCGATTGAATTTTAGACCTTTTTGTAAATACTTGAGAAGTAAGTAATCTACACTTTCTTTTTCTCTTCAACATTTCACAAAAATGACTTGCAGATATAGCACTGGTGGCTTATAAGCCGAAGACTCTCTGCGAATTTATAATAAAATTTTACACGAAATACAAAATTTCCTTCATTTGATTGATCAATTACGTGTATGCAGCTAGTACAAATCCGAGTACAAATCTTTACCAGTAATCCAAGCGTCACCAAGGGTTTGTAATTAAAGCCTACACTCTCTTGGCACCTTGATTCCAAGTCGATTTGATAGCATTGATCCCTGGTTTACTGTAGACACCAAGGTAGGCCTCCTGTGCCTTTCCCCACTTTTGCTACCCAGGCCTCCTAATAAACTCAGTTTGTAGGAGTAGGTGAAGTAAATTACCTTTAACGAATATCTGGCGCCCAAGATATCCGAAACAAGTACCAGTAGTCTCTGTCCAAAAAACACCACAGTAAGCCCCACTCCCCCTATTTGTTATTCTTACTATTAGAAAATAGAATATTATTATACAATTTTTATAAGACACTATTTTTTCGCACGCGTTGTTTGGAGTGAGACTAGCGGTGCGAGGAGTTGCTTCAAAAAAATAGTGCGACAATATGTCTTATGAAACTTGTATATTGATTAAATAAATTGAATGATCATTCCCAAATTTGGGAGATGGTAGAAAAGCTATTCGAATTAACATAATTATTCTAGGTTATATGTTTTGAAATTGTAGGTCTTTCAAAAATCTGAATTTCCAGATTGACTGATGAGGCAAACTCACGTTAACAATTTTCAAGTATGGTGTCGAACTTATAGGGTTGAAATAAATAAGGTGCTGTAAATTGTAGATACAAAACTTACATCATTTTATTTTCCTTGGATTTACAACGATGTTTCATATAACAGAGATATATTTTTTACACACATATTAATCATATAACATCTTCGTAACTATGATTATGTTCATACAATATCTAGGGAAGTATGTCAATATCATATAAATTCATTCACAACAAATTTAGCTTCAACAACCGTCGTGACAACGACCAATCTAATTGCAGTATTTCTCGAGTTTTCACGAACTAGCAAAAACGATAGATAATACGACTCGGTCGAAGGGGTCTGGATCGTCACTCTCGTCTCAAGTTAAGAATAAAATAAAAATAAATAAACTAGTATTACATAGAAGTTATTTAACATATGATGTAACGTGATGGGGACATTATGCACAGTTTACTCATGAATTTTGAACCTAACTGATCAACGAAATTATGTAATGTTAATGCGTTACATGAATTTGTTTCCTGCGCACTCATCTGACTCTCTTATCATAAACGCTGGTGTTCCGCAAGGATCAATTCTAGGACCAACACTATTTCTACTCCATATAAAAGATGTATTGGAAGTAACTTCATGTCCAGCTTTGCGGATGATAGTACCCTCCATTCCGCCTTCTCTTCCAGGGCTCCAATACCAGCCAGGCAAATCAGAAACGAACGAGGAAAAAATGTTGACAACAGAAATATGGACTTGGCAACAATTCTTGAAAGGGAATCCAATAACTTGGTAGATTTCAAAGCAAACAAAACACAAGCTTCATTTTTCTCTAGAAAAGCCGATCTCACTGTGCCCAACATAAGTTGTCAGGAGTAACCATACCTTTGAAGACATCCATTTTGATGCTTGGTATTACTATCGGCAATAACCTTTCTTGGGAAAATCACGTGAGATCAGTTGTTAAAAGTGCATCCCGAAAACTGGGTTTTCTGTTCCGGGCCAGGAGCTATTTCACTTACAGTCAGCTGCTCATGATCTATAAGGCACAGATCCGACGTGTCCTGGAATACTGTTCCCATATTTGGAGTGCAGCACCCAAACATGCCCCGAAACTGTTGGATTCTGTCCAAAAAAGGGCAATTCGTCTCGTGGGTGATGCCTCGCTCACAAACTCACTCACTTCTCTGGAACACCGTAGAAAAGTTGGCGACCTGGTTCTATTTTATAGTTATTTCCATTGACGATGCTCTTCTGAAATATCAACAATTGTTCCTCCCTTGGCAGTCCCCGCGAGATTAACCCGTCGAGTTGAGGCTTTGCACCCCTTCGTGGTCACTTTGGAGACCTGCAGAACATCTCTTTTCAAATACTCGTTCACCCAACAACAGCGAGGCTTTGGAACACATTGAAGAAGAACACCATTTCCTACCTTATTTCTCTTGGTTCTCACGATGTTCTCTGAACATTACAGGATATCCCTTCTCGTGGGAACCAGAACATAAAAAAAAAGAAAAAAGAAACTCACCATTTCCGTTGGCCATCCAGACGCTTTGCTGCGTCATGAAGGCGGACGCACTGGGCGCCGGCGGCTGCGCGAACGCCTCCGCGAACGGATTCGACAGCTGCAGCAGGTCGTCGGAGGCTCGCGTCTGCGCCACCGCCGCCGCCGCCACCGGGGCGAAGAGATCCATGTGGGGGGCGGTCGCTGGCGGCGATGACGTCATCGTCGACGATGAGGAGGAGGAGGCGGTCAAGAAGGGGTTGTTGACGGCGGACGGGGACACTTTCGACTGGAAAACGGAAGAGATAGAGGGACTCCAGCTGAGATGTTTATAAAAAAGTTGCAAATATAATTCTACCGAACCTCCTTGCTAGGGTGGGTAGAACATTGCAAAATAAGTTTGGTTTGCTCTGTAAAAAATGTCGTGACGGCATCCGTTTTCATTTTTTACGATTATGTCGACTGGCAACATTGTGATGAAATTTTGTATGGATGTGTTCTGAAAGCTGAAACAGCGCATGAATTTGTTTTTATATCTGACACTCATAGATGGCGGAGGGGGAGATTACGAAATTTTTTTACTGAGCAAACCCAACTTATTTTGCAGTGTTCTACCTACCCTAGCAAGGGGGTTGGGTTTTTTTGAAACACCCTGTATATTCTCATATACTCAGTCGTATCAACTATTTGATAAATGTTTAGGGATACTGTTAAAAAAACAATGATAATAAAATATCTGCATTATATAAAAAAACATTGAAAGTACTGTATTGTTTACCATATGATTCACCAACAAATCAATTATATAAAACAACTGAATCATTCTCATTAGAAGAAATATGAAAATTACATACAATATCATAAATGAAAGATTGAAATCCAATTTTATTTCAACAAGAAACAATGAAATTCATGATTACCAAACTAGACAACATGGTTTATTTCATCTTGATATCGCTAATTCTTCTATAGGCCAAAAAAGATTCACCCATGCTGCTCTTTTCATATAACAAATAACCAGATAATATAAAAAATTGCAGAAATACAATGAAATTCAAATACCATTAGTTAAATTCTTAACACAGCACACTTTTATAATTTTGTTTTCTACTTCTTGTTAGTTTGGCTATCAATAAAGCATAAAAACGTGTTTCTACAGTTTTTCAAATTACTATTTATTTTCTACTTCTTTTTAGTTCGACCATCTATCTCTTCAGTTTTTAAACTGTATTATCCTTATTTTTTTACTTCTTTTCAGTTTGGCATCGAGATTGGCAGTTTGATTATAGTTTTTCAAACTACTATTCATTATAAAGCTCGTTCGCCATATTGGATCCGCCATCTCGAATTTCCCAATTTTGATGGGAGAATAATCAATCTCCGACCCCAAAAACCCCCAGATACAAATTTTATGATCCGATACCATTCAAAATATGTATCTGGGGTTTTTGACTTCGAAAACCATAGATAGATACCAATTTTGAATAGAATCGGATCATAATTACAAAACAAGTTCGTATATTGGATCCACCATCTTGAATTTCTCAATTTTGACAGAAGAATCAGAATAGATTATTGTTGAAAGTTTTCCCCAAATGATGCCAAACTTATGAAAGACACTGTATGTAATACCTTGAATTGATTCATGGCAGCTTCCTCTTCAGCCAAAATTTGAAGTTTCAAGCTTTCATCGATGCCATTGGGCGGTGAATCGAAACGGCCATTGGCAACGACATTTCCGAATGCATTACTAGTGGATGACAGAGCTGTCACTCCAGATTTGACGTTCTTCTGATTGCTACTACTGAAAAATAATAAGAGGCAAAAAATAAATTATCAATGTTCGATTTGAAATTTCAACGTGTCAAATCAATTACTGTTAGTCAAATAGAAACAAAAGACGAGTCTTTTGGCTCTAACGCACTTATGGATTGGTGAACTTTGGTCACCAAAGTTTTCAAGTACAGTTGTGTGCATACACAAGTTGGTCAAGGTTTGTATGGTGTAAACCTGCCTATGATGCTTCAGATTCCATTAATAAGTAGAACACGTACACATTTGCGCGTTACTGACCAGAATAGTTTGAATTTTGACATTACTTGTCAAAGTCGCTAAGAAGATTGATCAAAATTGACAAGCCTGACTCACAATAGCCTATAACTGGTGTACGGCTAGTTTTTATGCACACAACTGTACAGGGTGCGCCATTTAAAATGGAACCCCCCCTTAACTCTTTCAGTTCAGAGATGTGATAAAATGTTGAATTTGAAAGTTGTTTGTCATTCGTTTTTCCGGGAAGGACATTAACTTTGATTTTTTCAATGGAGCACCCTATATATTATCTGACATGTCGATAGAGCCCTTTTTTCTGATTAAAAAATATATATGAGTTGGATATTTGGATAAAAATTGATTGAGTTATTGATTATCACAGTTTACCAAAATACCGAATCTTCCATTCAAACTGTCTATTCATATTTTTTTGTATTGAGATTGAACGATTTCAATTTAATAATAAACAATGCTATGGCATTTCCATGGAGCTTGAACAATATAAAAACGTTATTTCAAAGCACACTATATTCAACTTACCATAGATGATATGAAGTGAAGGTTCATAATGCGGTATTTCGGTAAATTTTGTTCATCAATAACTCGACTATTTTTCATCCAAATATGCAACTCATGTTTATTTTTGAAATCAGAAAGAAAGGCTATATTGAAATGTCGTAAATTCATCTAGGGTGTTCCATTGAAAAAATTAAAGTTGATGCCCTTTCTGGAAAAACGAATGACCCTGTATATGAATCAACTCCACGATCTAGCTAATACACCACGTCAAGCATTGAATTAATTCTATTTCCGATATTTGAAATTCTGATACATGATATCGAAAAATCCAAGAAATAATATATTAGTTGATATCAATTTCAAAATGAAATCAATTATTATCGTTCTCGTTGTTTATTAGTGAAAATGCCGATTATTCATTACATATCGCCCCCAAACAAATAAATAGATGTATGTAAAGTTGTGGATGGCACATTAAGACACCGGATCATTTTGAAAAATTGATGGAGAGCATAATCGAACATTCTCTACCCAGTTAAAATATGTTCGACAATGCAGTGTTGCCACTTGTATCAGAAAGTTGTATCAACTTCGATACTTCAAATGGAACACCCTGTATTTCATTGCAATTTTAGAGGACATGAAAGTTGTTTTGACCCATAATGAATAGTTTCGACATAAAAAATCCCAAAGTTGGAAAATCTTGATTTTGAACACCCTATATCCTGTAATCATTACCGCTAGACCCCAAGCCCTAATAACAGAGAATAACATTCGTAAGACGTCGTAGAAACATCTACAGTCTGTCAAAGATAAGGTTGCACAGCATGGGGATCTCGAAAACGGTAGGAGATACGAAGTCGGTTAAATGGGGAAAAAGTTGCGCATTCGGAGGCTCATACCAACAGCCTTCGAAAATTTTCAAAATTTTTTTTAGTTTTTCAGTTATATCGAAAAAAGTGAATTTTTGGAATCTCTATTTTATTTTTTTCTCCGTTATTATTAGAGATACAGGAAAACTGAAAATACTTTTTTATAGCAACTTTTGATGACGTTTAACGTGGTGATACCAATTTTTCTATGCGACGTTTCGTATTCGTAGAACCATCATCAACTTTTGTTTTTTAAATACGGCCCTGATAATTCTTTCACAGATTCTGAAAGTTTTTTTTATTCTGAATTCAACCATGTATTATACAAGGTGGTTTGAATGTGTTTCGAACTATTTTTAGCCATCATCAATGTTTTTTTCGAAATTCCTAAGGAAAAATGCCATCAGTTTCACTTTTCTCTTTTTTCAACAATCATTCCTGATAGCCCGTTTTATGCAGAATAGGATGACGTTAATTTCTCTCTGTAATACACTTGTACGCTTTTTTTTAATGCGACTGTAAATATTCAGTATGAATATTTCGATTATTTATCGATGAAATTAGCCGGCTGTGAGAAACATCGCTGGGATATCGTACCTAAGTCTGAAACAGTGGGACATTTGTAGAACCTTAGCGGGATGAAATCCGCTCTTCAGGAAGAATCTGAAAATGGGGTTTTCCATTTGAAATATAAAAAATGCCACTACTTTCTAATAGAAGTGGCAACACTGCAATCTCGAAAATATTTTATTTGGGTAGAGAATGTCCGATTATGATCTACTTGAAATTTTCAAGGTGATCTGATGTCCGGATCACCTGAAACGTCTAATGTTTCATATTCCGTGAAACAGCCTCTATAATACAAATCTAATTAATAGAATGACGGTCCTAATTCGATACTGAAGAAATCAATAGTTCCAATTTCGAGGTGATTCGTAAAAGTAAAAGTATGAAAGAAAGAGTATTTCCGCTGCATGGCTACACAACAGTAATCCACAACAAGTATTATGCAATAAATAATAAAATACATTGGTGCTATTCCCAAGCTGTAAATTCATGAATGGATGAATCTAAAATTAAATTCCTTGCAAAAGTTTGCATTGAATCTAGGTCATGATACTACTCGGTCACTAAACACAATCCAATGCGTAATGAAATAAAAAAAACAAATAAATTCTCATCATTTTTTTTATAGAACAATGCTTCATTCCTAATGGATACTTAGTCATAATAGTGTATAATCCAACCATTACTGATATACCGGGTGGTTCGTCAAACCTGTGAACATAGGCTGTTGCATAAATGACTTGTTAAAGGCAATACTGGTTCCAAAAATGTTATGTCAACTTTTTTTTGTTCAACCGTTCAGAGCAGGGGTGCTCAAAGGGGTAGCCTGGTCAAGATAAAACAAAACACATTTATGAAAATGCCTTATTATAAACATTTCATTTGAGTGTTGATATTTTAACATGTTTTAAAATTAATCGCTACTGTACTTCTCTAACCTGCCATAAGCTTATCTGTACAAAGTAACATGGTTGAATAAACTACTCTAATCTATTTATAATATACAGGGTGTTTCATGAGAAGACTCACATAGCCAAATGGTTAATAGGGGAAATCAAGACGAGTTGATGTATATATAAGAAAACATTTTTTGACCCTCCATTATGTGAAATTGCTATATAACTTTGATGGTCGATATTACAGAAATGATTCGTCGTAATCTGCTGAAATTTGGCAGCGACGTATCTCTACTGAAACGATTCAAGATAACATATTATGAAAAAGAATATCCAGGCCCGGACTTGGGAAAAATTTATGTTTCATTGTTATGTCAAAAAAGTTCACTTTGTGACCACTTATCTCGAAAAATTCCATCAGATTCAGAAAGATCAGACGAAATTCTATGAGAACTGCTCTTCAATTTACAGGGCACACTTTGACCGGTTCAATAAAAAAATATGGAACAAAATCGTTCCAATGAATTTTAAATTTCAACCTGTCTGATAACTGTCAACTTTTAACTGGTATCATGTGAATTGATTTTTTCTACATTTTTGTTGAATAGTAATTGACAGAAACATAGACGAGAAGGAAAAACACGATATTATTATTCCTGACTTTGTTTTATGGGTGTCGCTTAATAATCAATCCAGTAATCTGGAGAAAGCCCATACCAGACGAAAACATGAAAAAAAAAAACTGAATTAGATTTACCAAGACGGTGACTGCTAAACATCATGATAATTTGGCATTTCTGGATTTTTTTCAATTTCAAATGTATTGTTGAATTACCGGGCTGGTCATTGATATTTCCGAATTGACCTTAACCTAACCTGTCTTCAGCTGTTCTCGTAATATTTGATATGAAATTATTCATTATACAGGTACTGAAGAGGTACATTATTACATCTTGAATTTGTGCCTGATAATGCCCATAACTTATTTTGAATATAATTATAATTCTCTGTGGACAACCGTAATGTTCATCACTCAGTATCAGGTTTAGAATATGGAACAGTGCTAGTCTATGACTAATGCAATGGGCGTTGGTATTTATAACAAGCATCATGAATAAGATGTTACATAACCAAGATAAAGACCGATGACAATGTATAAGAAATAGTTATTAGTATTTTTCAGATAAGGGTGATATCAGCAAATAAATTGAATAATTGAACAACTAAATATCATTCAATCATTGTATCGAAGAGAAAATAAAATGATAGTATTTCATTGAACCAGAACACATTATCCAAAGGGTTATTGAGAAGAAGTCCTTTAACCCTAACAAAAAGAAGAGCAAAAGGAATTCTGGGAACAAAAATTACGGTCTAAAAACTGATAATGATTGCATGGTTGAAAAACTGTCAACTATGGTTTCAAGACTGATGATGACTAGTTGAATAGTCGAGATATTATCTCAACCAAACAGAATAACTTGTACAACTGTTTTTTCATCAAATCGTGGGTCATCTCACGTAATGACGTATCTCATAAAAATCAGAATTTGAGATACTCCGTCAAGTGACTCATATTCTTGTACTCTATGATCGCACAAAGTGGCGTAACTCAATATTCAATGGTTTTCGTCTGTTTAAATATCGAACACTCAGCCTATCTCAAATTATTGAACTACCAAATCTCACGAAGTGACCTAACTATAGGAGTTACGTCATTACGTGAGATATATTTTTATTATTTGTTGAAAATTTCAACAGTGACGTATCTCACATCGGGTTTACGGAGGAATTTAAAATATCTCGGGAGACGTCTCAAGGTACTGAAAGGAGTATTGTAAGGTATTGTACAAGTCGAATGAATTTTAGTGTTTTTATCAATAAAAATGAATGTTTGGATCTGTTATTCATTTGATTCAACTTCATATTCATGGGCGTATCTAAGACCACAATAACAAACATGATCTCACGTAGTGACGTATCTAACGAAACTTTTTTTTTCCTCTTCGAGCGATGGTTTTTGGAAATCTCACCATATCATATAACAACAAGTTCTAGTTCTTCCACTAATGAATGAAAAAAGAATGATCTTTCACGAACTAACCTCTGAGATATAAGCGTATCAAGATGTTGAAAATCTTTGAACTGCTCTGCTGTAAAATTAAGAAAACTGAGATACGTCACTACGTGAGATGACCGTCGAAATGATAAGACTCACTTTGACGATTGCGAGGACAGAGAAGATGTTTTTTTTCCTTCCAACTGATTCAGATGTTGCTCTAGTGCATCTAGAAGACTACTCGGCGCTTTCCTCAAGTCTGGAATATCTCCTTTATCAATACCAACATTCTGAAAATCAATAAAATGAAACAATTTCAAATGCCTACATTTTCACACACTAACCTCAGCCACTTTCAGAAATTCCGCCACTTTATCCATCCTGATCAGGAATTTTTTGTAAATATCCAAAGCTTCCCGACATTGCTTCTTGTTCATATCAAAGAATTTTTCTGGAAAAAAAACACACACATTGGCGTCTCATTCTCAAACATTATGTCACTATGACCTACCTAATAAATTTATGATTCCATCATTATAACAAGCAAAAAGTCTTATCAAATCCCTGAATAACAGCATGAAAGACATGTTGATGACGCCATTAGTCAAGTCATTGGCTGAGCAATCGAATTCCAAGAGAGCGTCGAGTTGATTTTGCAATACAGGAACAGTTTTCAATAACTTATCGGCGTGCATTGTCCTCAAAATTCCATCATCTTTCCTAAATAAAGGGATAATTATTTACACTATTCTCATCTTGCATGCTATGAGAGCTATTAATCGAGACCTCAGAACAAACTAGGGGTTGCAAATCTGCAATCCCGAACCAAAATTTCAACCCCGGGAATTCGGGATCGATGTCTAGATGATTGAAATTAATTCAAGGTATGTACATTACTGGATGATAAAAGTTGTCATATATTATTGTTTATTGAGAAAATAGCTTCCAGTCAGAAATAAAATTCTGGTATGAAGAAGTTGATTACAAACAATAATAATAAAAATAACATAAGGTGTCAAAAACAAAAAACAAATCTAAAAATGTTAAATCGATCAAATCATAAAATAGCAACAGGGACTAATCAGTATATGCAGAGGCGGACTGGGGGCCGGGCGGTCGGGCGATCGCCCGATGGGCCGGTGCCCTTTGGGGCCGGTAGAAATGTTGAATGAATAAAAAAATATATACATAGATACTGCAAAGAAAGCTACATCAAACGTTCTGTACGATGCAAAGAGAAGCACGATTCATTCGTCAGGATTTACTGATGATTAAATAATAGTAACTGAAAACTCAATTAGGAAGGATTATGAAAAGGTCAAAAATTATTATTCTGCTGATGCTGCCTTGACAGTTTGCAGATGGAACTGATAGATTTTGTCTCGAAGTGGGAAAGACCGTCGAGTACTTTATCAGAAGATATGATGGATGGTGGAAGTTATGTCTTCGATGAAGAAGAGGAATTGATTTCATCAAAACACAAGTTCTGCAAAAAATGTTAATTTTGTTGCTACCATGTTTCGCACAAATATAAATTATACGTCGAGGCCTATCCAAATTCAAAGAAAATTCATAAATATATATCCTTACTCCTTCAGTGTCACAGGTATCGTGTGAAATAGCTTTCTCAAAATAAAATTTCATTTTGAATAGGCTATAATATAAATTCTCTATGCCAAGAAAATTTAGAGGCTTTCATGACCATGAAGTGTGAAAAAGACATTTTATATCAATAGGAAGCGACGATATCATTTTCAACTCGTTGAAAAATGTGATGGATCCATAAGAGATTCACCTTTTCGTTTTTTAATTTCAATTTCTAATGTGGGTAATGTTTTATTTTTTGTTTTGGATAAATAAATTTCCTTGTATTTTTGTAGCTTTAATATTATATTCACCAAGGTGCTTTATGTTCATCTCCATAGAAATATCGTTCATATTATTTATTTTTATTTTTCATTTATGAAATGTTATTCATGTTATTTATTTCATTTTTCTTTAGTATATTTGATGTTTTAACGACAATTTTTTTGTTTGAGTTTTATTATAATGCAAACTATTTGTAATAATTTTTTTCTACAAACGTCAAAAAATGACAAGGTTCGCGCATTGATAACAAATTGCGAAGTGGCAATTTTTTTCAGTTTCCTACGTTACCATGATACCTTGAACAAAACAATGCGCGAAGTAAAACAGTGCGCGAAGTACCTACTTCGCGCATTGTTATGTAAAATATATGAGATATTTATATTTCAACTTTATGGTCCTCAATCGAGCAAACATCCACGAAATTATTTATTCCTGAATGTTCAACAATTACTTTGTTTCATCTCTTGGAGCGCACGAAAGGAAATTCCTATTATGTTCGTGGACCATCGTGCGTACCTAGGGAGGGTAGGGGGAGGTCTTTCAAGCCAGTTCAACACTATTTTTTATATCAAGCTAAGCATATTTTTACTTAAGAACTATATTTTTTGACGTTTGTAGAAAAAATTTTGTTTGCAACTCGAGCGCGAAATACTTTGGTCATCTCGACTATTTTTTCAACTCGGCTACGCCTCGTTCAAAAAATCAGATCTCGATCACCAAAGTAGCATTTCGCGCTCTAGATACAAAAATAAGTATTTTTTCGCGTTTGTTTCTATATGTTACCAAAATGAAATTATATGAATTGCTATAATATAGCTTTGAAATTTTTTTCGTAGGTGGGCCGGTAAGGTTTAATTCGCCCGGGCTGATTCAAATGTCCAGGCCGCCCCTGAGTAGATGGTAAAGTATCAATTATATCCATTTCAAATTTCACAGTTAATATTTTTTGCGTTCTGAGCGCAAATAGCAATATGTCGACTGGTTTTTACTGTGAATACTCAAAGGTACTACATAATTTAGAATATTACTACTAGAACCATTCATAGAAAATGACGAGCATAATTTTGTAAAATTCCTGAAATAAAAAAAGAGTTCCTTCTATTCTTATCTGAATACGATATAATCACTGATAATATCTTGATATATTTTTTTCTCATTATTTCATTCGGTTGGGTTTATGCAAATGAAAACTGACAAGGAAATGATGCCAAAATATATCGTGAACACTTACCCTCTTTTCACTTTGCAGAAATCGAAGGCCACAGTTCGATAGGATATTGCTTTTTCATTGAGATATCTTGCGTAGCGTCTAATGAAAGGTGACATGTCATAACCTTAAAGAGACAAATTCAGGTCACATTTATGATATAATTGATTTAAATTAATTACTATCCCCGGTACAAAACAATGAATACGAGGTATTATATTATGTGTATCCAGGTATATCAGTTGTTTAATAGTTATTTAACCAACTAGTGTATTAATGAGGGCGATTAATGATCGAGATATTTTCAGATGTTCGAGATCATCGATGCAATTATGCCCTCTAGCGGCTGTCCTGGAAACTTGAAAATAATTTCCAGAGTTTTTTCTTGGCCACTTTTATCATGAATATTTTTTTTCGAAACCTGTACGGCAAATAGTTTCCAAGATACAGCCGGCGTCCTTTCTTAGTGGTACACCCGGTATATTCATAATATGAATAGATTTTAAGCTCAACTTGAATAACATCAACATCCTTGTTCATTAACGCAGAACACAATCATGTTATCTACATCATCATGGAATAATATTTAGCATCCCATTACATGATTTGAAGGCTTTTGAAAGTATCTATCAATAACAATTCACAAATTTCAAAAGCCATACTTTCAATGAAGCAGCTGCACTGCACTAAAATAAGTTGATAAGTGTTGTTTAACTCAAAACAACTAACTTATATTTGTGCGTGCATACTTGGTACTGGCACTACATTTATAATACTTACCAGTCCTAGCACTTAGAATCCCTGGTGAAGTAAATAGGAAAGAAAGAACAGTTAGAAGAAAAATTTGTATGATCACTTCTATAACTAAATCGAATCCATTCTCAACTTACATAATGCTGAGTATCATGAGTATTAGAAATAATAAATCGATGGAGTAGTGTTAAATGAAAATAATGTTTATTGAAGACGAAGATACTGAAGAAAAAACGAGAGGGATTCCAAAACCAGAAATTGAATCCGGATTTTCATTGGAGCTAGTACTTTTTGAATTTTTTACAGCATCAAATTGCTGTATTGACGAAGCATCTTCAGGTGAAATACTGGTATACATGGTACGCTTTTCGACAATGCAGTGTTGCCGCTTCTACTAGAAAGTAGTAACAAATTTGATATTTCAAATGGAACATCCTGTATTTTATCGCATTTTTAGATTCTCCCTGAAGAGCTGATTTCATCGATACATCACACTTGGAGTCTATCGAAAATGATTACAGAGATATAGGGATTTTCAACTTCCGGATTTTTTTTTGTGTCGAAACTATTCATTATCGGTCAAAACGACTCACATGTCCCTATCTGAACTTTTGATTCACTATTTACTGATATTTAATCGGAACAGATACAGATTCAGAATTCTGATTCGTTTGAAACAACTTTTCCATTTGACATTTTTTCATATCTCTAAAAACGAAAAAGTTAATAGGGGGTTCGATTTTTAGAGGCGCACCCTGTACAATATATTTCACCTGAAGAAGCTACTGTGTTAGCGAAACATCGTCGTGTGATTGAGAATTTTTTACGTTTACTATGGATTTCCATCAAGTAACGACCGAGTCATTTGACAAAAAGAATGGCATTCTTCCTGTCATTTCGAAATATTTCAAAGTGAGAATGTTTTGCAGCGATATAATAGTTTCCGGTTTCCTTGCCACTAACTATACAGGGTGTATCTGAATAACACCGGTGTTATTTAGATAAATAGATACATCCTGTATAATGAAATTAGTGGCGCAAATATGTGTTGCGAGCGTAACGTAATTTATCTAGTTAGTTAAATTGAGAAAATCAATACTGGTTTTACCTTGAACTCCGCCTTTATCCAAGAAGTTGCTGAGTTGAAATGTACTATTGCTGGAAGCTAGGAATTGTGTAAATCTCTGAAAACGAAAAAATGTAATTTTATAATTTTGGAATTCAAGTAAACTGCCACACATTTGAAGTGATTTAAGCAAAAATTTCCATCATTTTCGAACCGCCATAACTTTGGATTGGATCAACCAATTTCCCTCGCAATTTCCAATTTCTTTCAAGATTCTGATAGCTCATTCCATTGAATATTATCACATATTCAGATATCACTCTGAAGGTCATCATGCCGGAAAAATGGAATAACAAGTACTGAAGTTGTACTCGAATAAATGAGCTATTACAATCTTGAAATATATTGAAAATTGGTTAATCCAATCCAGAGTAATGACGGATCGAAAATGAAAGCAATTTTTGCTTGTCTCACTTCAAATGTGGGGCAGTTTCGATTCTTTTTTTTTTTCGAACAATCGTACGCGAACAGAAAACTTCGTTATCTCTACCCAGTGCGCGAAGTACAACTTCACAGCCGTTACCTATAGCAACGGCCGCCTAACCAAAGCCCACTTCCGAATTGGACATTCCCAAAACTACGTCATTCATGACCGCCATCTGGTGCGAACCTGACGCAACATAAACACCTCTCAGCATTCTCCTCTTCGTTACCATTTCATTCCACTTTGAGTAGTTTGGCTTTTTCCTAGTTGAAAAATCGCCAGTCGGACAGTCAGCCACTCCCATTTCATCCGAAATGGGAATTTCAGGCTTGGAGTGTTTCTTTCCTTTTGCCCTAGACGGCGTTGTATCCATTTCGCAGTGGTCGAACGCCTCGTGGGTATTAAATGATGGGAGGTATTAACGTTGGGTCAGGTTCGACTTATCTGGGGTCGCAGTGGGGGGTTAGGTTCCATGTGAGTGGGGCGAACACCTCCCCTCCACTGCGACCCCAGATGGGTCTATTGGGGCTCGCAGTGGGAGGACGGCATTCGCCCCACTCACATGGAACCCGACCGAACAGGTTCGCACCAGATGGCGGTCATTTGGGGACACCCCTGCACTCGAGCCTGCACTGATGAGATACATAAGCTCGAAACCGGTCTGTAGGTAGTCAAGCGGTCCTGAACAATTGAGAATTTAAGCACAACTAGGCATTAAGGAAAGAACCACTTGCTACTAATGACTGAGTTTTTTCCTCTTTGTTATCATTTCATTCCACGTTGATTATTTTGGTTTTTTCATAGTTGATAAGTGAGTTTGTTTCTTGTTGAACAAAATAGATACATAATTTATCCTTATAGGATAGGATAAATTCTTCGGAATATTCGTGGGAAGCAGTCGAATGTGACTTATATTCAGTGTTTAAAATCAAAAACGCACTTCAATATTATCCCTTAAAAATATAATTTTCGTAAATTGCAATCATAGAACGTGAGACACCAAGAAGCTTCGAAATGTTTGAAAGAGTACATATAATTAGTAATTATTATAATAAAGCAAATATCGTCTTAATTTGACGTGTAATTTATTATGATCAGGATTCATATCCTTCACCTACTGGAACTGGTAGGATGTTAAAGGTAATTGTAGTATATATATTTGCTATCAACTTCAGTTATAAAGGTGGATCTATGCAACATCAACTAAATTATGATGAATTTAAGATTTAAACGAATTTCAAATTAAAAATATATGGTTGTTCATGCAATAACCTTTGATCAGTTGTTTATTCTTTTTCCAGCGCGGCTAGTTATTATTTGACGCATGCGCTGTGGGGAATTATGGAAGAAATTAATTTCTCAGTTGAATGTTGGCCATCTTTCTTAGTTTAAATTTTTTAGTTTCTTGCATGAGCACCTAGATCACATTTCATAGTTTTATATTATTGGTTTAAGTTTAAAATTATACCAATAACCTCGCTATAAACTTACTTCATTTCCATAACACATCATGTGGTGAACTGTAACTAACGCTTTATATACAACAACCCAATTCGTATTCTGAGATCTTTCAATCAACAAATTTGCTAGCTGTGGAATGGACACGTTGGGTTCATTTGTACAGTGGACTAAATCTGAAAAAAAAAAGACAAAATTATTAATCAATAAAGTGGGTCGCTGAGGAATAACGAATAATCAACAGGATGATTTCATAATGGGCAATGCAAAAACATTTTCCCTTTGGTCCACCAGCGTAGATAAGGGGAGGTACTGGGGGGCAGTTCCCCCCCCTGAAAGCACAAAAATAGTAAAACAGTAAGAGTTAGTCAGATCTTTGGAAAAATGAATGGGAAGAAACCAAAAATAAACCTATAATAATTTACCCAAAGAAACAGCCTTAGATTCTTAGATACTTTAGAGCATTACAGTATCGAAATATTTCCCACTATTTATACACTCCTGCAGATAAAATCTGTTATGCCGATGAGTGTGGCGAGTGCTGAAAGATCATTTTCTATACACTTAGGTAAGACACTGAAATCATGGTTGAGGTGTACAATGGGTCAGGCTAGTCGGATTAACTTTATATTAATTATTCATAGATATATTGAAAAATATATAGATGCTGTTATCGATAGGTTTCCTAGAGGTTTTCAAAGCAATGTAAAAGACTTCGTTATATAATCTAGTCACGGGGGTACCTGATATTTTGTTAATTAGATTTAATCAAGAGTTTTGAATGATAAGTTACCTACCTACTTTATTATCTAATGGTGAAATTGAGAGATTAATTCTTTTTTTTTTCATCTAGTTCATATAATACGCATATAAAATATGTTTTCATCGAGAATATTTATCTTGATTTGTTCATTTGAATGACTGATAATTGTTATTTTGGTAATCATGAATATTCTGAGATATAAAAGCAGCTTTGATAAAAGTTGAAGGTAATAAACCACCATTTTGTGTTGATTTATTATACACTGAAACGTGTTGTACTACTAGGCAACCCCCAAATCATAATTTAATTTCCGTTACTGAGTACTCCCCCCCCTAGAAAAAAAACATACCTACGCGCCTGCTTTGGTTTACCAGGTTTTACCGAATTTTTCCGAATAGGTACAATACAGGGTGATGTGAGTGAGTGAGTCAAAGTAAATGTTAGTACTTTATATAAAGAATAAGGCTATCGCGCTTCGTTACGGAGTTATTGACCTTGAAAGTTGGAATTTAACAAATGAATTTCATGTATTACTTCAAAACGGTTGCCATAGTATCAATCATATTCCACAGGAATTTTGAAATAGGTATCTGTCTTTATAGCGTCTCAAACGGTTTCAAACAGACAGTTTCATGATGCTAGTTCTAAATTTAAATCCAGAGACATAAAAATGAAATTTCCGAATGCTTCCTGGTAGGTAAATGTAAATAGTAGAATAGTTCTGACATTTATTGATTATACAGAGTATCTACCTACTTTTAGAATATTTATTTTGGAAAAGTCAGTTAGATATTGACGAGGATATATTGATATTATAATTTCCATTTATTCCAATAAGATATTTCCGAGTATATATTACATTGTGAATTTTTTATGAGTTCAATGTCAATTTGCTATTCATTCATTCAGAGATAACCGATATATTTTCGAATCGTTCAAATGGTCACGAGTATCGAGTATCATAAGTTTTCAAGCATCTTCGGTAAGTACCTCGGTAAGTACTGTGTATAGGTACCAAATCCAGTGGACAAATTTTCATCAATTCAGAAATAGTTGAATAGTAGCTAAAGATATGTTTAAAATCTGAAATGTTTCGAAATTCGATTGGTAACACGTCCTTATCTAAATAACGCCCACTATTTGATAATGGTAAACAATATACCGGGCGTTTCCGACTGTTCGTGTCCCCTTGATAAGGATATCGGATGAGATGAATACAGAGTCAATGATACAGCAACAGATCGTCGTTATCTTGTTTATTTGATATGCCACATAATATTATTTCGTTTAATAACAGATATTCAAACGAATGTTGTGTTTTCCATATTTAGACAATGTCTACGAAGAATAAGTTAATTAGTAGAATTTCAAATCGAGTTTCAAATATAAATATTTCATCAGTTCATATAGGTATTTCATGATTCTACGGAAATAGAAGTAACGTAAAAAGTCAGAAAAATACTGGACTTGTGATGGAGTCACTGATTAGGTACTTGAGTAGCACAGATCTTATACGTATATCTCTACCAAAGAATCAAGCTGAAGCCAATTTAGTTTACCTCCCACGGAAGGTAATTGTTTCTCGCTCGTGAGAGTAAATTGACAGGTTTGTGTCCTTCAATGAGGGAGCAAAGGGCTTACTTTCGATGTAGTGAGTAGATAAACTATTGTAAACTTCTGAAGAAGAAAAAGCCAACTATAGATTTTCATAATTCAAACCATTATTTGGCATTATTTGGTTAATATGTATTATGTACGACGACGTAGTACACATACTTCCTGGACTAGGCCAGAAAAGTGCTATTTTCATGCAGGGAGTAGGAAGTAATATGAGAAGTAAATAAACGGAAGATATCACAAAAGCTTCATGATCGACAATCAAAACATATGTCGCTTGTACGTGATTGCAGGTTGATGTTGGATGCTATGTTAGGTACAGGCTGTTCCGTCTAAATCGCACATTAGACGTCCCTATTTGTAGTTCTAAAAATGAAACTAACCTGAAAATTTGTATTCACGGGTAATCCATTGGGTCAAGTTCAATGAAAACATTTTCAAGACGACGGCACTTCCGGTTATACCAGACGCTGACTAGTACTATAAGCATTGAAATACAAAAAAATTCACGTCATGATGGCCAAACGATTATTGCAGAATATCATTGGCTTCCGAAGGATTATTCGCAGAACCGAATCCATATTTAGACAAACGTTCAGGTTCTCAAGATGAGTCATCATCCCGTGATTCTTTGACTTGAATGTAATTGAACAAACGCATAGTATAATATATTGAGACGCTTAATATCAAGAAGATTTGAATCTGAAAAGCATACTTCTCAATTTTTTTACTACGGTCCACTAGGTACTGAATCAAACAGTTTTGGGAATATTCGAATTGGTCCAATAACTCAAGATCCTAGATTAAGGAATCCACTAGAGTATGTAGAAAATAGTAGATATTTTGTTTTATTTAAATAGGGTGTGAGTGTATCAAACCCGAACCGTGTTTTGTTTTCAATACTTCCCATGCTTTCGGTTCATAACATATAGCCGTGGCAACAGCAAAGCTCAGAATTTCATATTCAAAGTGAGTAGGTAGACTACTGATATAGATTGTGAACAGAAATGGACCTAACCCTGTTCCTTGTGGAACTCCGCATGTTATACAACCCTCCCTAGCTCGCTCACCTGCAATATAAACTTTCTGCTATTGATTTTTTATACAGATAACTTCTCCGATCATATAAGTATTCCCCACAACTCCATGAACTTTCAGTTTGTCTAGTAATTTCTTGTGGCATACGGTTCTTCATGAATTATTTAAAAGAAGAAAAGAAAAATTCGAGGAAAAATCAATCTTGAACAAGGTCTAGGAGAGATTATTCATGAGATTAACTCGGCTTGCTTTGCATGTTGCATGTTGCAAATAGGCGTTTATCCGAATGACTCATCCTCGTATTTGCTTCGATTATAAAACCACAATCCGTAGACAGGGAATGAGAAAGCGATGATAAAAAAAACCACAAGGACACCTACTTCCGAGTAGCGCTTCAATATTCCGAGATTGCTGACGGAAAGAATGAAATAAAACATTATAAAACTCTGATAATGTTATTCGTCCTTTGTCAATAATCAAATTGAATAGGTTCGGACATGAATACCTGACTACTGTTTTTTCACTCATAATGGTCGAATTTACGCCACAAAGCTATTTCATATTGATCTTTCAGTGTATAAATAGTATTTGATGCAATTCGGCACCCTCGAAAATGCCAGTTTCGATGACGTCATGAATCGAACCGAGTCATCGTTATGTGAATTCTTGTTCTCGCATTAAAAGTATATGATCACATATTTCGACACTGCCAGATTTGTAACTAGTAATCACCTTATGAGATTCATGACCAATGACAACAGTATTCACATTCACAGAAGACAATAGTTCGACCTGGTCCTCAAGAATCACTTATTGAATACTTATATACTTGCCAGATACTTCAGTACCAATGAAAATATCCTAGTCTTCCTGATCGAGATTTTATTCAAACCCAAATGATTTTGTGGCACTGGCAGCAGCGTAATGCCTAGAGTTCCCAAAAATACAAGAAGAGAAGAAGAAGACGAACTACATTGTCAATGGTAGTCCGGGTGTTCTTTGGAAGTCCGGGAATTTCTTGGGAAGTCCGGAAATTCTTTGGATAGTCCAGGTAGTCTTTGGGAAGTCCTGGAATTCTTTGGGAAGTCCTGGAATTCTTTGGGAAGTCCGGCAATTCCTTTAAAGTCCCGTACTTCTTTAGGAAGTCCAGGAATTCCTTGGGTAATCCAGGTAGTCTTTATTGTGAATTCCGAGTATTCTTTAGGGAGTCCGGGAATTTGTTGGGTAGTTTCAGGGATTACTTGGGTAGTCCCAGGAATTCCGGTAATTCTTTCGTGTACCCGAAATTGGCCCGTGATTTACCCCTCGCAAAAACTGTTCATTTTAGCTCAGTCTAAGGTCATTCGTTTTCTTAACCAGAACTTTCTTCAGTGGCTCAGAAAATATTTGAGAAAAAGTTACGACAGGGTATTGTGGCGCGTGACTGAATAAAATGACCGAGGTTACTTCGTCAAAAATAGAGCATTTTGAAGAGAAAATCATGAACCAAAATTGACTGAGAAATGTTCAGCCATTCTCGAATTGGTCCTGAAAGCCTATTTCAATATTTCATCTCCAACGCCACAGTTTAAGGAAATACCCATTCCTTAAACTGTGCCAACACTATGTATTTCTAAAGCTAATCACTCAAGATCTAACTCTTCATCAAATCACCCTGTATATCAGCGCTCATATTTGCACATTATTCATTCTAGGTATATTACATTCTCTTATTGTCGTCAAACATACCATCTACGATACACACAATGTTTAATATTT